TATTATTACCTATTAATTTATTATCTTTGAATTCGTAATTTCAATTTGACTATATTGTAATTCCTAAGAAATGTAATTTAATTACTTAGTATTTTGTGATCGTACTCCAATTGCAATTACAAAAATTAAAATGTAATTTAAATGAATAGAGATCTGAATTACGAATTACAATGTGTTTAAATTATAATGTAATTTAATTACTTTGTGATTATAATTAATAATATAAAATTCTAATACTGTACAACTTTGATTTAAGGTGATGGAGATGTCACTCGAGCTCAATTGTACAAATATTTATAAAATACTGGCAAACAATTCATTTAAGTATGAGGAATCCGTATCGATAGAAAGAGTTATATCAAAAAACGATATTTCTTTACAATAGTAATCTAATAGAAAAGAAAAATATCCCGAGACCTGATTATTCGCCGCATAGTCTATATCTTATGAAACAAAGTGCTTTTCGATTTGTCACGACGATCGATTTCCTCATTCCTTGGTTGAAGGAAAGAAATAAAACGGTGTACCGCTAAAAACAATGCCCCCCATTGTTCGATTATACTACAGTTGATTGCATATCCATATTACGAAGTACAACCACCCGGAACAATTCTCTTTGAATGTGTAATATCGATATCGTTTACGTAAATAAGTTACTTTATGAGAGAATAATTGACTTGAAAGAGGAAAAGTAATCGTTCTCTTCCTTTAGATTGAATTTGCTACAGAAAGAAACATGATTCCGGCAGAAAAGATGCAAAAACAATTGTAGTAAAGTATAAAATATATAGTTTTTAAATACTTACATAATTAGGAATTCAATAAATTAGTTTTTCAAAATTTACTTTTAAGTTATAAATTCTATATTTGTTTATTTTTTGTCTGACGATGACAAACACTTTCGAAAAAAAATATCTTTATTGTTTCAAGAACGTTCCTGTTAACTGTAACAGTATAATCATATGAAATCTGGACAAATTACATGATTAGTTAAAGTAAAGTGTTAATATCATTCTAAAATGGACGAATTCGTAATATTTACAAACTAAATTCATGTCATTTTTAAGCACGATCATTCGTATGTAGCAAAGTGCATTATTTAATTTGTTTATTGCTTATTAGTAAACTGCACATTTTATAAACGGGTAGAAATCAATAAGTATAACATAAAACGGTAAAAATATCAGAAGAATTTAATGTTATTAAAGAATTAAACATTTATTAAAAGATTAATACTTTTAAGTAAATCTATGTGGAAAAGTATGGTGATCCACCCTGTATATGGAACAGTATGTTCTGACTTAGAAACACCTGTATTCGGATAAACATTTTTCAATAAACATTAACTATGTGAGTGAATTTATAAGGAACAATGTTCAAAAGTATAGGTAAAATTTTTACGTCCGTATGCTCCGTATATTTTTTATTGTATTGCTTGTACTACTGTTCCAAAAAAGAGTCACGATTGAGCGGTGTTTAATGATAAGAATTTTTAGCCCATTTCAAATGATGTTCGACGCAGCGAGAGAAGTAAAAGCAACAGTGATTTCCTCGATCCAAGACAAAGTCGTTTAAAAGAGGAAGTGCATGCGTACCTCGCCATGGTAAGTGAAGTTTCCCTCCCATATAAACGGTATCAACCTCAGCTCGTAACTATCTGGTAGCACCGATCTGGGCAATCTGACGTCAAGTTTCTTCTTGACTGAAAAGTCCGTGGGGAACATGCCGCGCGGCTCGAATACGGAATTCCTGAGATCATTGCACGATTTAACGAGCTTTTCCTCCAGGCACGGGGCGAAATGATAGACCAACAGTCCCGTCACTACCAGGGCCGTAAGGAATGCCGCGCCCAGAAGGAAACCACCGCAAGGTGACACCGTGCATCCTCGTTTCCGCCCGAACGTAGTCGTGTGATGATCATCCATCATTCCTAAAACCTCGCGAGACTGGGTCATATCATGTGAAGACCTGGAATCATTCAAATACATACACGTCATATTTGCTCTGCTACCTTGATCTCAAGAGTTGGATAAGTTTCTATTGTTACTATTAATAGACTGCGGATTTTATGTATTTATGGAAAAATTGAGTACGATGAAACAACCTAATACGGAACGCTTTGCACGTTCCTACTACTGCTTCAAGGAAGGTTACAATTCAACGGTGTTTCATAATAGGTCTTTTTACCTCAGTTACAATTTGAAAAAGCAAATATATGAAAAGAATTTTAAAATGTCAATGAATTATTGTTAATCTATTAGAATGATTGAAGAAAGGGGGAACGTTCTGTTTAGTTTCTATTTCTTGCAACTGATGCAGACAATTTTTATTTCGCATAATTTTCTTCTAACGAATTATTGCGATTAACTTGTTAATAAACAGAAATAATCATTCATCATCATTTCTTTCCATGTAAATATGTGAGTGTACATGTAATTGTATCTATTAATTAATTAATCATATACATATCACATTTAGGATTTCCATGTATCTTAATTAAATCAAAGTGCAGTTACAAATTTTGGCTAGAATATGCGAAACGTTACTATGAAAAATTAATTGTTACAATATATTGGTTTTAGTTTTCAAAATAACATTACCGTTTGCTTTGC